GGACGGGGGGGGGGGGGAAATGTGATTTGGAGGAAGGGTGGGGGGAGCAAACATAACGCAAAGTTGAGGGGAAAAAAACGACTTAAAGTTGTTGACAGTCTGTTTCCCGAACAGTGTTCACCTTGGTTGTACCCTTGCTCCAGTTGTTTTGACAAAAATAAAATTCAAAACACAAGCTTCACTGGACATTGAATCAGGTGTAACGTGCAATGAGGAAACGAGGAGTTCTCCGTTTTAATCAACTGAAACTGCTCACAAACGCGTGTTGCTATACCCACTCCCATTGCTTAATGCAGCGCGAGGCTATTAGCCTGCTTGTAACACACAATTAACTATCATTATGATAGATTGCCTTGCAGTCCACACCTTAACCAGACGAAAACACACCTAATGTGTTGCCCATGTGGGCTCAGACTAAATATACGATGTTAACAGCAAAATCAAAACAAAAAAGTTGAAGTGTATGTTAGTCAGACATCATAACATTGAGAATCATAAGCCATTTTTGAACGCTCACAAAGCAAAAGATGTGACAGAAAAAATGTATCGACATAAGAGAGCTGCATATAACAGCACAAGAAATAAGCCAGAACGAAGGCTTTTAAAAAATTCATAAACAAAAATGGGGGGGCCATATCTTCCCCACATTTGCATATCACTAAAATTTTTAAAAATCTGAATAATATCTTTTTATTGATGTTCGCAAAATGGAAAAGGAATTGCTGCACTACTGACTACTACACATTAGGAAAGAAATAATATACGGAGCTAAAAGAAATAATAGGCAAAAAAAACTACAAGATAATTATATAGTTTGAAAATTGAAGGAGAATAGAAACAGGGATTGGCAACGAGAAAGAAATTATAACAACTATAAAAACTGTTAATGGGTTACAAGAGTGTGATGCTCTTAAATAGAACGTAGTCAAACCAAAATTGTCTGCTCAAATAGCAATGTTCTTGTATATTTGTGTGGTCAAAATTATCGTTCAAATACAATCTGCGTCTGAAAATTCCAAGAAATCAATGTTTACTAACGTTTTATCAGTGAAGACAAATTGAATAGCTCAAGTCAAAATAATATTCAAGATGAATCATATTATATTATGTCAAACAAGAATGTTTACAAAATTGTTTATCGTAGTATTTGGTTTGAGAGAGGGTTTTTGTTTGTTTGTTTGTTTACCTTTTAGGGGAAGGGGGGTTGTTTTTGTTTTTGAGTTGTTTTTTTTTTTGTGCCGAAGTTTCCATGTACATGATATGTAATCTAAGCTTATCGGAGGCAAAGCTGGAAAAAATTTTTTCTTGTAATGTACGAGTCGAACAAAAAGCTGTAACGGAGAAACTAGAGGAAATAAGTTTACATAGAAAATCAGAAAGGGTTAATGTTGTTTAATGCAGTAGAAATCGTTACAAGGCTACAACATACACGATGTGTGTACATAAACGTTTGCGAAAAGATGTTGGAACTGAGCTGAAAAACGGAAGGGGAAAACTTCTAAAGCATCATACACGTGGAAATAAGGATCGTATTAAACTAAGGACGGGCATATTTAAAAACTGGAAAAGCAGCATTAAATGAAACTAACACAGTAACAGAAGTATATTTGCTCGATCGCACCATGTACCTTTAAGTAAGAAAAAATGTAAATGTTGATTGAGAGGCAATAAAGCAATAATGTCCGACACCATGACGTGTGAAGTGAGGCCATGCGCCAGTCCGAAGATTGCTTATGTTAGTACGATGAGCGCGGTGCGGATTGAAATAATATCATAAAGACGTGGTGTTATCAGAGGCATAAAATGTCCAGATTTTGCTCTATTTGAGGCTACATGTACTACTTGTGTGGTCAGTTGAGATGGATGGCAAAGCTGCTCTTAAGGGTGGCGAGGAGTACGAAAGGTTCGTGGTGTTGATGATGTTCGTGCAGATGGGACTAGTGGGAATGTGAATGATTATAGATATGAGGATAAGGATTGGAGCTGGGGAGGTTATGGAGAAGGTGGGGGGGGGGGGGCGAGAAGGTGAAAGGTAATGAGGAGAAGGGTGGTATAGGATAGCTGACGTGATGATGATGATGATGATGATGATGATGATGATGATGATGATGATGATGATGATGATGATGATGATGATGATGATGATGATGATGATGATGATGATGATGATGATGATGATGATGATGATGATGATGATATATTATATTTTTTGTACATGTTCCTGAAGAAGCCCTTTACAGGGCAAAACGTCGAACTTATATTAAATTTGAAAAATCTACTAAGTCTCAAACCCATTTTTGATTCCCTACTACGTGAAATGATGATGATGATGATGATGTGGGGGTGTTGGTGGGGATGTTAAACAGGAAAATAATAACAACTTAGTTTTGTTTACAGAAATAAAGAGAGGAACCTGGGGGGATTAGAGAGGAGATGTGTGTAGTAATGAACTAAGACTAAGATCGTATCGGATGAGAAAGATGGAGGGGTGCTCTGTAGAAGAGTTTTTCCCTAGCCTTTACATCAGTCCTTTTTGCCACTACATTAACTCTCAGTATACTCTCCAGATCAACTGGCTAACAGCACATACGATCGTAATAATAATAATATATCACTTAGCTGTTTATATTCGTAATTAAAATCTACAAAATCCCAGCAGGTTCCTTTTATCTGTAATCATCAAACTGTACGTCTACCAATTGAATCATTCATTTTACCAAATTTTGTGTTAATTTTTTGGGCTTAGATTAAAAAGGAGGGTAGTTATGGAAATGTTAGTTGCACCAAAAAATTAGATGACAAATTTGGCTGCTTACAAAAGCGTATATTCAGAGTCATGCTACTAGTATTCCTGCAGTCGATGCTGCTCATTTTGATTGGTGACATCGATGATTTCTCTACTGCTCGTACTACGACCCATGCCCCTGCTGTTGCAGCTAATGCTGCCTGCTGCTGAAGCCGACAATGTGTATAAACTCTTTTATGACGTAACAGATGCATACAATGTCCGACCAGTGGCAGACTAAAGGCAATGTTGCGCCACAATTCAAACCGTCATTCACAAAATTGTAGTTTAAAGAAATACGATTATTTTATTGTATGCATATTTATGCTTGTCTTATTTGTTTCTGCCAGGTTTGTTGGTTTTTTGTTTTGTTAAGAAAAATTTGCAGGAAGTTATCTTGTTTATTATTTGTTTTTTGTTTTTTTTAGTGCCCCAAAACGGCACAAATTCAAGCATTGCCGAATGGCCAGAATGAGCGACCTTAATGAGTTAAGAAGATGATGAGTATGCATAACTTGTTGTCGAGAATATGATCGAGCATTGTGCTGTTTAGAGCTTTGTGGGTGGTGCAAAATGTCTCAGTCGTAATGCCCGTGTTAGAATGATATGCTAGACATAATGATAATGTGCTGGAGTTACCGAATCATTGCTGGCTTTCACGTCGCAGTTCTCATCTTCACAGGTCTGAAAACATGGCAATGCGTTGAGAAAGGTTTATGATATTATGTGTATGCACCCGTAATAGACGAATACACCTGAATGATGGGACTCGGGTTGAAAAGCTAGAAAGAATGTGAGTGAAAGAAACGTGGCACAGTAGCAGGGGCAATGAACGTAAGGACAGGTATAGGACAATCTGAAACAGCAGATGTCCTATTGCAAAAGGGTGTTCCAATTGGGGGATTGCCTTTACGATGACCTCAGTATGCTGAAAGAAGTGTTACGTTCATGCAAGAATAGAAGCACGTAGTGGGTAACTTTTAATTCATCACAATTATGGTAATCATTTTTGGTTTGCTATCTTGTCTGCGATGAACAAGACATGTTGACCCACAGGTAAGAAAGGATACATTATTTCCAAATCTATTTCCAGGTGGGAGCCCGATGTGAGTTGAAACAGACGCTCTGAGCGTAGGAATTTAGTAAGGCAACAGTGGAACGGTTAGGGGGTTTGGGTTGGCCATAGCGTCGCCTCAGAACTATTGTGCCCAAAGTGTGCTTAAGTAAAGAGCGCACTTCGGACAAAATACTTCTGAGGTGATGATAGGAGGGGGGAAAAGCAGCAAGATGAAAATATTAACATGAAGGTGATTTTAGAGCAGATAATGAGCAGCACTGTATCAATGCTTTAATCTGATATGCTTTTATTTTCGCGTCAGTGAGCGATGTCTAAGGCGAGTAGCGCACAACCATAAAACAGTTGGACAGTAGTTCGCTTCCTTAGAATTACAGAGTTCTATCTGCTCAGTACCTAGTTTTGAGAAATTTGATGAAAAAAAAATTGAGTTTCCCTACATGTCCAGCTTTTTCGAATGCAATTCTTTGAATATCTTGATAACCACTACGAATAACCTTACGATTTTGATAGGGCAGATAGAACATTTGGTTTCTGATCTCATATCTTAGTAACTCAAAACGGTAAAAAAAAAATGTCAGGTAGACACAATGTTCTATCTGCCCTATCAAAATCTATGAATATTCGGAGTCTTTTTCAAGATATTCAAAGAATTGCATTTGTAAAAGTTTGACATATTATTGTGAAACAAACTTTTTTACGTCAAATTTCTCAAAACCAACTTCTAAGCAGACGGAACTTTGTGGTTCTAGGGTAGGCTTTTGGCTGTACACTCACAAGAGGGGATTGAATATTGTTTCAAGGATTAGGCATGATATAAAAATATTTTTTCAACAACATTGAAAACAACATGTATTCAGTGACACATGGGCTACTGATTGTTACGTGACACACTGGTTAAGTGACGTACACACTCAGTAAGTTATACATGTTACAGGGCCATTGTACTCAATGCACACTCAGTGATACATGTTACGGGGCCACAAAACACATCAAGCATTAATTAATAATTATCTGATAGTAGGGGAAATCAAAGATGACGTGGTGCTTTTTTAAAATAATATCATCTTGCCTTATCTTTACCAATAAAAAAGGAAGAACAGACTTTTTCTCATCGTTGCTATAATAAACGTATCTCTTTTTGAATGTGTTGGGTCTCAGTCCAAACAGCATTAAGAAACACCATTAAGAATTATTCACCAAACATTATCTTGAGCCAACACAGTTTCCAACAAATCTCTTGTCCCATTTCTTTCCTTTATTGTTCTCGGATGCACTAACTACACAAAAGTCTATACCCAATGCTGTACTCCAAAAATCAAGAAATTAAACGAAAAGAAATAACACTTAAAAGGATGCACTATATCACCATGATCTGAATTTCAGTTTCCAGACATCATTTCGAAAATGAGACGGACATATTTTTTAGAAATATGTTTCATTTTCAATTACACCACTTAGAAAGAGATACACTAGTCATTGCCACATTAATGTGCAAAAGCCACTAACATTGACATACGCGTACGACATACTATTTTCTTTCACAGCAATATGTTCAATTCAAAAGGTACATTCTCATAACAACTGATATTGTCCTAAAAAGTAAAAATTCAACACATACCTGGTTAGTACCATAAGCAAAAACGAAGAACTGGAAAATCCTTCCGACTTTGAAGCTGATCGTGGTTTTCGTTCTGATGACTCCGTCACTCCCTACTTTGAAGTACCTTGCGTCGTTTCTGCTCTCCAAGCGGAATGACGTAACGGGCTGACCTGTGTGGATTATAATGTCAAAACTATGGATTTATTAACCTGAAGACGCACAGTAGAGTCTGAATTGAAGTCCTGGAACCATTCGAGGGAGACGTTGACCAAGACGACACAAAACAGACAGAGCTGGAGATCCTTTGTTGCTGCCCTATACGCCAGATGACGTGACGGGTAGTAAGTAAGTAAGTAAGTAAGTAAGTAAGTAAGTAAGTAAGTAAGTAAGTAAGT